CTTAATGTTGAGAGGACTATAACAATAGACAACTATTCCTTTTTTATTTCCTGCTTTACCTCTTGAGTTCTATGCTATTTTGTATTAATGTTGTTTGGATAGTTCAATATTTTATAGGCAACTATTCTGTGTTCCACAGAACATTCAGGCGTTACAGGCTAATGAGAGAGTGAAGCTCCTGCTCTAGAGCCCTTACATTACTCGTTGTGGATGTAATAACTGTAGCTGTCCTCTAACGTGAACAGCCTTTCCATTTTCCCATGTTTCTTCAATAATGCCAGGACATTAGTTCAATGCAGTTGTAGGGGAAACAGTGCCACCTGTTGGATTATCAGTATCATCCTTTTGTTACATAGTCCTGGAAGGTTTGCTGATCCCCTTTATGGTTATTATGGCTTAATTCTGATAGTATTTTCTCAATACCTATACTTTCCCTGCAGTTTAATTATGTTGCTGCACCCTTATTAAAATTTCCAGGTGTTGGGGTTTTTTGTTTTGTTTTGTTTCTGTTTCTGTTTCTGGGTTTGTGGTTTTGGGGGGGTTGGGCTTTTTTTGTTTTGTTTTTTTCTTTTCTATCCTTAATGTGGATGCATAAAGTTTGACTGCAGTTTGACTGCAACAGAGCAGTCAAAGCTCTTCTGGAGCACCTTGCTAGCAGTGGAGAGCAAAACATTTTTCCAGTTTTCTTTAAGTGGATTTTGTCTGCAGTTTCTCTGAGTCTTGCCTCAAAAAGACATTGTGCACTTCTTTTGAACTCTGTGGCTGAATTTTCTTTTTTTTTTTTTTTTTTAGTAAAGATTTAAGGATATGCAGCAACTATTCCATGTTTTTCCCTCGCTTTCTTTTAATCAGATTGGTGTTTATTTTTAACTTGATGCTAAGCGCTTAGTCAGTGTAGCTGCTAGCATATGACTTCACATTTCTCAATCTTAAACAAACAGTAAGTTATTATAAATTAAAAGATTCTTTTCTTCCAGACAGAGAGAAGCTATAATAGATGTGTAGCAATTGCAATGTTGTGCCAAGTGCATTGGAACAATAAACAGAGCAAGCAAGCTTCTCCCTGTGGCCTAGTTAACAAAAAAGGCAATAATTCACATATGCTTTTTTTCCTCCCTTAGATTCTAGTTGCTGTGAGCTTGGGGTATCAGTCTGTCTATGTTCATACCTCTCTTCAAGCATTGCAAGTTACCCAAAATAGGTGTTACCTCCCATGACAGTCTAGCAAAGGCTGTCATCTGAATCTAGACCTAAACTCAATAATTGTCTCCCTGAGTCTGAATAACGAGGCTGCATTCAGCTTTTTTAGATGTGAGTGCAGCAAAAAACTTGCATCTGAGACTCTGTGAAATGTGTTTATATAGCATGGAAAGGTATTAATTTTCTTTTTTTAAATTTTAATATAACTCTAACCTGATTGGTTCAGGCCCTGTTTTTTCCACACACTTGATGTATTCAAGTTTAGCTCAATACCTCTGTCACTTAGCAAAGGAAAAACATGTTTCTCTGCTAGCAGGATAAAAACGGAGTTTAAGATGCCACTCTCTTTTGATGCCCTTTCTGTGATTTTTGGGGACATTATGAACTGTAATGTTAGGTATGCGTTTTGGGGCAGTAGAAGAGAAAACAAACCTTGATTTAAAATCAGTTATGTATTACAGTAGAGGAGGTGTAGTTTTGCATACATATCTCACTGTTTGGTGTAGCATGGGAATCTGGAGCTTCTTGCAAAATGTATGTATTTGCATGTTAGTGGCAGTTATGTGAATTGTCGTAGAACATTTAAACTCCTTACGTGCCTTGGAAGATCTTACCTAGAATCTATATAACATTATTTAAGCAGCACAATGGTGATTATTAAGGGATTGGATATAACTAAAATGCAAGGCTAGTATACAGTTATGCTGGTTTTGTTCTAGAGGACTGCTTTGACTAGTAGGCAATGATTGAATGTTGTGACCTAAGACTTGAATGTGAAATGGAAAATAAAATTCCAGCTTTACTTGTGTACTTTGCAAAACTTGAAAGAATGAGAAGAGTGTCATAGAGTCCCAAACAGATTACAGGTTTAGTTTCTCAAATTTCATTATCAGCATTAAATGGTCATTTTGGCATTCTTCAGCTCATAACTCCTGCTATAGGGTCTATCTGTTTTGGTTTTGGGGGTTTTAGTGATTGTTGGTTTTGGTTGTTGGTTGAGTTGTTTGCTTAGTTTTTGTTCTGATTTGTTTTTTTAAGGAGATACCTGTATTTAATAGTAGTTTTGATGGTGCTGTTAGTATATAAATGATTCCACAGAATGTAGGCTAAAACATCACCATTAATAACTTGACTTTTAGCCATGTAAGATTGAATATCTGTGTTTAAAACTGGTTTGGGTCAAATAAAAATTTTCACCAAAAATGTAAGCACTGTATTCCCAGAACCCTCAGCCCCTTGGTTAACTCTTTTTTTAAAAAAAAAAATATATAAAGACTTCTCTTGAAATGTATTGATAATAAATAATCTAGAGCTAGACAACAGATTCAGATCCAAACTGTGATTGTGTGTGGCTTGGAATACTGCAAGGGGTGGGGCAGGGTGTGCACAATCAGTTTGATTCCCAGTAACTTAATTCAGAGAAAAACGGGCCTTGGGATTACTGCTAATCATAATTTGGGATATATTGCCAGGTGACAAACCACAAGTTCTATTCACCTGTCCTGGTGCACTGTACCAGCTACTAGGAAGACAGTTAACTCTATCCCAGCTGAAACCAGGACATCACCACATTAGTTTCTTATGAGATGATGAGACTCTTACCAGTTGGTATGGATTTCACAGCTTATTTCACCTTGCAACACCTATATACATCTGATCAATAATGTAGTTTAATGAAAGAAGATTCAAACTCTAGATGCTAACATTATATTAGACTTGGGTAGTAAAAACATTATTTGAAGAGTTTCATGCTTCAGTTCTTGAATTTGACAGGCAAATCTCACTGATTTGGGTGATAGTGCATCAGATAAGACAACAGGTACTTGTACTCAGGCAAAATACTCTTTCTCAGACATTCACAAAGCAAAAAGTTATGATAAGCAGGATCTAAAAGGAATGAAAAATTAATTTAAACTTTCAGTGAAATAGAATTTTTTTAAACAAGTTGTAGTGATTACGTAATATTAAGAAATTAATGAGTTTCTTTCTTTTATTGGAAAATATGTGCATGTTTGATTTTGGCCCTGCAGAGATCCAGAGTTTGGTTATATAATTATAATTATACCTTGCTTCAGATACTGCCATTACAGCATTGAGTGATAGCTGAGAGTGGAGAAACTTCTACATTGCTGTTTCAGTAAGTCTACTTAGAATTAACACATTGTGTCTTCCCTTGTGCTACGTGTGCTATGACTGTCAGCCTCCTTCCTAATACGGCAGCTTCAGTAAAAGGTCTGAAGCCTGTATTGAATGAAGAAATTTTTGTTTCCGTGCTCACCTGTTGCTGGAACAGTTGAGATTGTCAACAAAAGTAGCAATAGTGGTGGTAGTATTCATTCGTTATGGTATTCATACAGATTAATAAATCTGCTCAGTCAGAACTGGAATGACACCACTAGTTTATTTCACACATGCAGTTGTTTAGATACTGTCTTAAATTTTAGCCACTTCTGACCTAAGAAGTTGTATTTTAACTGGCAGTTTGAGGACCTGCATCTCCCCTTAGTTAGTACCCTGGTTTACCCAATCCTGAGTGATCAGTTCTCTGGGTTTATTTTAAGGGACATTGCTTCTAAGCAGCTACTTGAGATGTGCATGCCAGAAGACTAAGGGACACTTTATTTTGATTCTGTAGACTAGCAGATCAGATGAGTTGCAGGAAACATAATTTTCCATCTGTTTCTCATCCTCAGTGCAGCAGATAGGAATATTCTCTGATTTCTTCCAGGAGAATTGCATTCTAAGAGACAAAAAATAGCTTATTGGGTTCATGTTTTCAGATTCCAAATTACCCAGTGGATGGCATTGTTCAAGAGACAGAAACCTACAGTAAGGATATCGGAAATCTAAGTCGCAATGGGTACACAAACTATTGTGTACTTCATGATTTCTCAAGCCAAAATTTGAGTGCAGAAGTTTCAGTTATGCTGTCCTGTGTAGATGCAGACCTATTTTAGGTAGGATGTGAAACTAAATCTTCCCACAACATTGGAGAATCTTTGGGAGCCAGTAGAACAGAAAATTGCATTGGCTTTGTGTTCAGAAAAAAGAAATTAGAGACAGACGGAGATGTGATTAATTGAGCTTCTGTTGTACTAGCCAGAAAAGCAAGTTCTACCTTGTTAATAAGGGCTGGATGCTAGACCTAACAAAATTATTTGGTTCAAAAACTTCAACAGGTTTAAATGGGGGAAAACATTGGGACTACAAGGTGCCTGGGGTATGTATTCATTGTATCAGGATGTGCTGCATCAAGCCATTGTTTTTACCTGTTTGAAACTTAGCTACAGTCTCAGTGAAGAGGATTGCAGAGTAAATACACATTTTTACATAGCCTTACACTTATCTGTGGATTTCACGACCATGTGTATAAATGGAAACTCACTCTAATCTGTCATCACTCTCGGTTTACCTACCAATGAGCAGAAGCTTACTGCAGTCCTGAAGGATATGCCTGATAAAGCTATAGTGTGATTTGAATGCCATGCAGTAGGATTGCTTGTCATTTGAAATGAAAGAATATAGTTTAGCAGAGGTTAGGATCTAGGACCTAATTGTATACTGGTTTCCCTGAGGTAGGATTCAACTTGTTTGTGTCTCTTTTTCAATGCAAGAAAGCATTCATTCTATGATAATATATAGTGTTTGAAATTCAAGTAGGAGTAGATTTCTAAAGAAAATGACAGCTGAAATAAAAAAATACTAGTTTATGATTTGTTTTCTTTGTATCTTTTTATGTGTAAAAGAATAAATGTTTCACTTTAACACTGTTAAATAATGACTCTTCTTTTCTTTTGTAGGTTGTCCTAGTCTTCGCTCTTAGTATTGGTGCTCTTGTAATATACTTCATAGATTCATCAAAGTGAGTATTCTAGTACATTTTCCTTTCCCTCCTTTCCTGCAGCAATTATACATCTTTAAATTGCTCCATTCATCTACTTCAAATCAGTGCTTGGTCTCATCGCCTGAGTGCGAAGAACTTTATAATAGTGCATGGTCTACCAAAATAACTCAAGAATAGGAAAAAGGTCTTATATAAACTAGATTGAACATAGTCACATTGGATCTGCAGAATGAATAGAGAGGAAAAACTACTTTTTTTTGTTGTTGTTGAAATTATGCATATTGTTGCAAAATTATAGTTTTTATGTTCATTGGGTACATGTGGAATCTTTCAAATTCAAGACTAGGATAAGAAATACCGGGGAAGAATATTTGCCAAAAAATTACAGTTTGCAGAAGAAAAAAAGTGTCTTGGGAGACTGACAGGAACATTTCCGAAAAACTTTGAATGAATTAGACAATATGAGCATTATATCTGGCATAGCTGTTCAGATTTCCAGCTCCTGGGTTTGATAGATTTCTGCTAAGATAAGGTGAGCCAGTAAAAATCTGCAAAGCATCTCAATATTTTTTAGATTTACACCAACATTATCATATAGTGTTGTCACTTTGGCCAGGCAATAGATAGTTTCACCTGACTTTTTGAGGTGTGTGATGGTTTGGTACAAACCAATCTAACTAGGAGTATCCCCTCATTGATATCATTCATACTCCACCCTTGTTTTCATATCAAGCTAGACACTGTCAGTGATGTAACAGGCAAATTGGTAGCCTAACACAGAAGAAACCGATAAAAGGGGAATTAGTAGAATATTATTCTGTTGAATCCAGTTATTTTGGGGACATGGTGTTCTGAAGTATTGATAGCATTTTAAAGCTCTAGGTCTACATATTTGCTGCTTTTCCCCAGACTTAGGCTTGCCATTACTGCAATGGTTAAGATAGCATGCCAGCCTAGCTGTCTGTAATGATAGTGGTTATGTTCTGAAACAATCCTTATGTGACTCAGAAAATCAGACATTTCACTGTTTACATCTGTACATACCACTATTTAGGTAGGTGGTAGCACCAGCAAAAGGCATTCTTGAATACATGGATGTCAGTTCTATATTGCATGAGTTTCAAGCCATACCTTTGTAGCCTAGATGTGTCAAGTATAACACAAATAACTAAGGTAGAGATTTTCTTTGTGGAGAGGAGTCAAGTGGGTGGGAAAACTCAAGTTGTATCTTGAGCTCCATTGAAGTGAGGACAATAATTTTTCCTTCTTAACATTGTGGTGAGTGTTCTCATTAATTTTAGCAAATTTTTCTTTAGTATGTCACCACTGAAGCAAGTAAGGCGGTGCTTTTCTGAAGATATTTTTAAAAACTTTTTAAAACACAATGGCAAAGCATCTGGGTGCCCAACATATCCAGGTCAAAAGTGTCAAAAAGAATAAAACCTGTTACCATTTATGTTTCAATTTCAGACCAACAAAATACAGCTCTTTGTCGGGGCAGTTGTCTTTTGTGAAACTAATGGATTATATAATGATTTTTAGGCACTGCATTCTAGAAGCCTTTGATTGTTTTCCTCAAGGAGAGCAGAACTGACAATATGGGAGATTTCTCTGGGGCGCTTAAGCTTTCTGTCCGCCACCTAATCCATGTACAGCTACCAGTTTATTGGCTGCTCTGTCAATGGGGATAGAAAACTGTTTCAACTGTAGGTTTCTCTGGGTTTTCAGCCAAGGTTTAACTCATAGCTGCAGTTTAAATTCAGTAACCTCAAGTTAGTATACTTGCACACTTTTCCTTTGTTTTCTCCTCCTTCTCTCTTACCCTACTTTCTCCCCCCCCATCTTTGTCTTTTTTTTTTTTTCCCTGGTAAATACTCATTAGTAGTTTGATTCAGGTTAGAAACTGCCCAGATATATCCCTAAAGTGAAAAAATCTGCTTTATTCTGTATTAGAGCTGACCTGATACCCATTTCAGCAATGTAGAATCAAATGTAGTGACATATCAGTCTATTTAAGATCCCCAAGTGTGTGATTACCAAAAGTAATTCCTCTTAGAATTTGGTCAAACAGGAAATAATGAAGGTAGGGTGAGAGGAAGGCTTGTGATATCCTCAACAAAACAACTGGAACAACCTAGACTGTGGCTTGGCCAGGAGCAGTGGAGACAAACAGGATCTAGTGCTCACACCAGACAGATAGTGACATCTACCGTTGTGTGCTTTCCCTTGACAATGCATTCTATAGCTGTTTATTCTGCCTGTGCCATGGACACTTAGCCGTCATTTGATCTTACACATAGAGTGAAAAAATCATGTCTTCACTCCAAATGCCAGTGATCTATTCATCTGAGACTCTTAATCTGTAAGTAGATTTGCAGATGTAATAGCAGGTATGTCTACAAAGGAATCCTACATGACTTCATACATAAGGGGCATTAAGAAAGATGGGAATAAGGATGAGTGTCATGATTAATTCTAGTGGAAGACACTGAGGAAGTCAATAAGGCTCATACAGAAGATACTACCCATTGCTCCCTCTTCTACATTCACGGTATAGGGAAGGTGGCTGGAGGCAAAATGAATGCTATCACAGCTGTGAGAGGAGGGTAAACTAAGAGCATTTCTATGCTACTCAGTTCATCACTCTAACAGGCATTCTCCCAGACTAGTACCACGTGAAATGGTATGTCCAGTGCAATGCAATTTAGAGATATCTGAGGTCAGAAAATTGTGCAGCTTCATCAACATAGTATCCTCCATACCAGTTAGTCCTACATCTCAGCAGAGCAATTAAGCAGCTTCATGTTGCTATAATATGTCTGTACTAATTCTAGTTCTGGCACAAACTTTAGGGATCTCTGCACCATACTCCATTACAAAATATAGGCACACTTGTGATCCAATACATCTGCTTTAATCTGAATTGACTTTTCATAGAAAGAAGCAGTACTTAACTCACCTTTTAAGAAAGGTTCTAGACAAAATCACAAAAATAATCATTCTTGGTAGAAGGAATGAAGGTTATTCATTTTGAAAACTATAGCGATTATTTCAATACCCTTCATTAAGATTATTCTGTTGTTTATTCAATGCTTCTACTTTTTACAAGCCACCAGCTTGTATCATGTCCTAGTACCACAAGACGTGTATAGAACATTCTTCTTTAAAGTGAATATGTACACTTTCAGTGATGCATGGTAGCAACTAGTGGAAGATTTCAATCCTTAAACTGAGAATTTATTTAGCAGAGAAATTACTATCTTGGCATGCCTGTTGATTAAATCCAGTCACATCCTAGTAGGAAATGTTTCACTTTTTACTAAGGACTAGACTCTTTCCTTCCTTTCTTTGTAGAATCTAATTCATAAAATACTGTTTTCTTGGACAACGCTATTTTTCAATGCTGGAAATAGCAGTTAAACTTGAAACATTTGCCGAAGAGATATTATAGATATCACCCACATAATTATTTTAATCTTTAGGTAACAACCAAATAATTATATTTTTATTTTTAGAGATTTGTTCACTTTAATGTCTGTCTTCCATTTTTAGTTTGAATAAAAGCAGAACATTCAAAGAAGTAATCATAAGCAGCTACTTAGAAGAATTTTGATTAGGAAAGTGATCTACTTTAGTACAGAATAGTGTCATATATCCTAATGATGGTTCTTTTCCAATTCATGTTTCCTTTAAAATTTTCATCATTTAATTTTTCAAGGTAAGGAAATAATGGAATTATCCTTCATTCTTAAGAGGAAAATCTAACTTGATGTGCACGCTTTAGATGGTTCTCTAGAGTCTGCTGAATGTGCTGCTGTAGAATAGAGAGTTTGATGTCTGCCAATACTTTTTCATTTTCCATGCTTTTTTATAAGTAGTTTTTATAACCTTCTTCCTGTGTCCACTTCTCTTTATTTTTCTGCATATAAAAGGTGTCTTAACAAATACATATAGAAGTACTTCTAAGTAAATTAAAGATGAATTGCCTATTTTAATTTCCCTTTCTCATCCTGACCTCTGTATATCGTGCTGAATTAGTGACTGGAATAGAGTAGACAAAAACATTTGCTTGCCATGATCATCTTTAGACATGGTTAGTAAAAGCACTAGCAGAGAATTCAATTTCCCACTAAACTGGTAACTCAGGGCTCCCATTTTCTATTTCTTGTAATGGCAGTAGCATGGAAGCTGTTTAAGATTTGAATATCCTTTTCTATTCTGGTTCTTTTTTTCTATTCTGGAGTGCAATACAATGTAATATGCAACCATAGATATAAGCTGTGCTTTTCAGGCACAGAAATCTTTTTTTTTTTTTGCCAAAAAGCTTGCTTTCTAATGACTAGTTATTACTGTTCTGTCTCTTAAAGTTTACCTCATTTACTGGAGTCCCTTCACTATAAACTGACATTAATGTGGAAATAATAGAGCCCATCAATGGCAAGGTGAAAACATAAAAACTCTCTCAACTTGCTTTATATGTTCTACTTGTGTTTTTCAAATCAGTTTTTTGGAGTTGTTTGTATTTTCAGAGGCATCAGTGTAGTTATTCCTAAATAGCTATTTTTTTCCAATACAGTGTCACATATTGTAGTTGATTAGAATTGTACATAAAAGTGCCATCTGGCAATGAGTGTAAAACAGCTGGATCTAAGAATAACAGTGGCACTGTGAATAGGAAGATTTATACAAATATACACACAGACATATATGTTCATGCTGAGCCCTGAGCTTGTTCTCAACTGTTGCGTTCTTAATCAGAAAGCTTTATTTCTTTATATAAAGTGGAAAATAAAAAAAGTTAAGCTTATAGACAACTGTACTTTTTAATGTTCTATATATCTTTGTATATCTGAGAAGAATTCAGAAGTACTTGCTCATTTTGCATACTAATTGTATAAAATCCTATTTGTCTAGATCTGATATCCAGGGAACCTGAATACTGCCCAAATGTAAAACTACCAAGTTTGTCTTAAGTAAACCATAAGGAAAATGCCCTTATTCTTAGCTTGATTTCTAAA